GTCACTCCCGGATAATCGAAAATGGGCAAAGAGGCGGGAGCTGGTTGCTGAAACCACGCCCACCTAAGCTCGACGGTGGTGACAGCAGCGGCAATCCACCTGTCACTCAAGTGGCCACGCCCTTAATTATGCAGAACTTTAAGGCTTAATATAATTTAAACGGATGAGTTATAAAAAAATTCACCCCCCTCACAGTTGTCGTGAAGGGCAAAATTAGCTATATAGACCAAAACCACTTTTTGTACCAGGCTGTAAACATATTTTTTTCTGCTGTAAAGTTGGCCATTTTAACATGGGGAGTCTATGGGACTGACTCCCTTTTGGAGCCAGCCTCTAGCGGCCAGTCGATGAATTGCAGTTTTAGCCACTTCCGTGTTGGTTTCACGAGAGACCGGGAGGTTGGCGCTTGGTAACTATGCGACAGAGCAGTCCGTTAAAGACGCAATTGTCTACTCTTCTACTACACACTCAAAAGTGTGTACTTTTTCTTCACCAAAAGAGTACATACTTTAGGGCGTGGGACGCAGCATGATTGTGTGTGTCCATACCTGAGACATACTGCCAGTCTCTGTTCAGGATCAATTGGTTCACGGAAATTGGTGGTTTTCTTGTTAAAATGTGGCTCCAGTATCGCTAGCAAACCATCAAACTGAGCCACTGAAATCCTGAAGAAGTAAACTTTGAATCGCTTGGGATAATTCCGCAGCTCCTTGATAAGGAGGTGGAACTCTCTTTCCTCTCTACGCAGTCTCAGGATTGGATGGACCAAATATTTCCTCTTTCTTTTTTCTTTTTAAGAGGACAACAAAATGATCCTCATTGCTTGAAGACTCCATTTTGTATTGTTATATAGTGCACTATATCGAGTGTCGGCCATTTTGTAGTGCTGTCCGAATTCTGAGTGAACGAGTTCATTCCCTACATTCGTTCACTACTTTTTACCCACAATCCTCTCTGATTTCGAGTGTACAACAGATGTTGTATGTTCTGATATAGTGCACTCAACTGCCATACACTATATAGGGATTAGTGAATGAGTGAACAAGTGAGCGATTTCGGACACAGCTTAAGTGTGCAAGGACCTTAAATGGACCCTTTTCACATTTCCGGGTTTCTCAGCAGCGGAAGTCGTCATAGTTGGGTTATCTTGAATAGAAGTGAATGGGAGAGTACCACAAATATATTTTTTGCATTCCCATTTGCTCAAATAGCAAAAGAAAAACTCCACGATAGTGTTTTCGTGACTTTCAATAAAAGGAAAAAAATTGAGAGAGACTGATAACGGCAGTCAGAAGAGAGAACGATGTCAAATTTACCGTCCCTCCCATAGACGCCGCATTAGAAACACCCTCGCTTTAGCGCTAACTGTTTTTTGTAATTTGATGCAAAAGTGATATAATACAAAGAATAGTGTTATAAATGTACATACATTTAAAAAAAA